TGGGTTAATGGGGGTGGGTGGGTAATGGTGGGTGGGTGGGGGGTTAATGGTGGGTGGGTGGGTTAATGGGGGTGGGTGGTTAATGGTGGGTGGGTGGGTTAATGGTGGGTGGGTGGGTTAATGGTGGGGGGTGGGTTAATGGTGGGTGGGTGGGTTAATGGTGGGTGGGTGGGTTAATGGTGGGTGGGTGGGTTAATGGTGGGTGGGTGGGTTAATGGTGGTGGGGGGTTAATGGTGGTGGGTGGGTGGGTGCACGGTGGCCGTGTGGGTGGGTGGGTTAATGGTGGGTGGGTTAATGGTGGGTGGGTTAATGGTGGGTGGGTGGGTGGGTGGGTGCACGGTGGCCGTGTGGGTGGGTGGGTTAATGGTGGGTGGGTGGGTTAATGGTGGGTGGGTGGGTTAATGGTGGGTGGGTGGGTTAATGGTGGGTGGGGGGTTAATGGTGGGTGGTGGGTTAATGGTGGTGGGTGGGTTAATGGTGGGTGGGTGGGTTAATGGTGGGTGGGTGGGTTAATGGTGGGTGGGTGGGTTAATGGTGGGTGGGTGGGTTAATGGTGGGTGGGTTCACGATGGCTGGGTGGGTGGGGTGGGTGGGTTCACGATGGCTGTGTGGGTGGGTTAATGGTGGGTGGGTGCACAGTGGCCGTGTGGGGGGTGGGTTAATGGTGGGTGGGTTAATGGTGGGGGGTTAATGGGGGTGGGTTAATGGTGGGTGGGTTAATGGTGGGTGGGTGCACGGTGGCCGTGTGGGTGGGATCTGTAGCATAACACTTCAGTTACATTATTGCATCGTGTGTGACGCTGTGTGTGTAGTCCCGTTGTGTTGTGATGTCAGTGTGACGCTGTGTGTGTGTAGTCCCGTTGTGTTGTGATGTCAGTGTGACGCTGTGTGTGTAGTCCCGTTGTGTTGTGATGTCGGTGTGACTGTGTGTGTAGTCCGTTGTGTTGTGATGTCGGTGTGACTCTGTGTGTGTGTAGTCGTGTTGTGATGTCGGTGTGACGCTGTGTGTGTGTAGTCCCGTTGTGTTGTGATGTCGGTGTGACGCTGTGTGTGTAGTCCCGTTGTGTTGTGATGTCGGTGTGACTGTGTGTGTGTAGTCCCGTTGTGTTGTGATGTCGGTGTGACTGTGTGTGTAGTCCCGTTGTGTTGTGATGTCGGTGTGACTCTGTGTGTGTGTAGTCCCGTTGTGATGTCGGTGTGACTCTGTGTGTGTAGTCCCGTTGTGTTGTGATGTCGGTGTGACTCTGTGTGTAGTCCCGTTGTGTTGTGATGTCGGTGTGACTCTGTGTGTGTGTAGTCCCGTTGTGATGTCGGTGTGACTCTGTGTGTGTGTAGTCCCATTGTGTTGTGATGTCGGTGTGACTCTGTGTGTGTGTAGTTCCATTGTGTTGTGATGTTGGTGTGACGTTGTGTGTAGTTCCATTGTGTTGTGATGTCGGTGTGACGTTGTGTGTAGTTCCATTGTGTTGTGATGTTGGTGTGACGTGTGTGTAGTTCCATTGTGTTGTGATGTTGGTGTGACGTTGTGTGTAGTTCCATTGTGTTGTGATGTCGGTGTGACGTTGTGTGTAGTTCCATTGTGTTGTGATGTTGGTGTGACGTTGTGTGTAGTTCCATTGTGTTGTGATGTCTGCAGTGTGTGTAGTTCCATTGTGTGTGATGTTGGTGTGACGCTGTGTAGTTCCATTGTGTTGTGATGTTGGTGTGACGCTGTGTGTAGTTCCATTGTGTTGTGATGTCTGCAGTGTGTGTAGTTCCATTGTGTTGTGATGTCTGCTGTGTGTGTGACGCTGTGTGTCGTCTCACCGTGTTGTGTGACGCTGCGCGTGTGACGTTGTAGAGAGATGGAGCGAACTTTCTTGGCGGTGAAGCCCGATGGAGTCCAAAGGGGACTGGTGGGCGAGATTGTTGGGCGCTTCGAGAAGAAGGGCTTCCACCTCGTGGCACTCAAGATGATTCACGTGAGGCTCTCTCGCTCGCTCAGAGACTCGCTCGCTCACTCAGACACTGACTCACTCAGAGACTCGCTCGCTCAGAGACTCGCTCGACTCACTCACTCAGAGACTCACTCACACAGAGACTCACTCAGACTCAGAGACTCAGTCACTCACAGACTCGCTCGCTCAGAGACTCGCTCAGACTCACTCGCTCAGAGACTCAGTCACTCACAGACTCGCTCGCTCATTCAGAGACTCATTCAGACTCACTCAGAGACTCACTCACTCAGAGACTCGCTCGCTCACAGACTCGCTCGCTCAGAGACTCACTCTCTCGCTCAGAGACTCACTCACTCGCTCAGAGATTCGCTCACTCAGAAACTCAACTCGCTCAGAGACTCACACTCGCTCAGAGACTCACCTCGCTCGGAGACTCACTCAGACTCGCTCGCTCGCTCAGAGACCTCAGCTCGCTCAGACTCGCTCGCTCACTCAGAGATTCGCTCACTCAGAGACTCGCTCATCCACACTTACAGAGCCCACAGATCTGAGACCTCCTGTAGACCAGGCAAGGTAGTCAAAATCTACACTGGGATAGAGACGCACACACACACACTCCACCACATATACAGCAGCAGGTATCGTCAATGTCACGGGATCGAACCCACGAAGACCTCCTGTAGACCAGGCGAGGTAGTCAACATCTCACCACTGAAAGAGAGAGACACACACTCCACCACATATACAGCAGCGGGTATCGTCAGTGTCACGGGATCGAACCCACGAGACCTCCTGTAGACCAGGCGAGGTAGTCAACATCTCACCACTGAAAGAGAGAGACACACACTCCACCACATATACAGCAGCAGGTATCGTCAATGTCACGGGATCGAACCCACGAAGACCTCCTGTAGACCAGGCGAGGTAGTCAACATCTCACCACTGAAAGAGAGAGACACCACTCCACCACATATACAGCAGGGGTATCGTCAGTGTCACGGGATCGAACCCACGAGACCTCCTGTAGACCAGGCGAGGTAGTCAACATCTCACCACTGAAAGAGAGAGACACACACTCCACCACATATACAGCAGCAGGTATCGTCAGTGTCACGGGATCGAACCCACGAGACCTCCTGTAGACCAGGCGAGGTAGTCAACATCTCACCACTGAAAGAGAGAGACACACACTCCACCACATATACAGCAGCAGGTATCGTCAGTGTCACGGGATCGAACCCACGAGACCTCCTGTAGACCAGGCGAGGTAGTCAAATCTCACCACTGAAAGAGAGAGACACACTCCACCACATATACAGCAGCAGGTATCGTCAATGTCACGGGATCGAACCCACGAAGACCTCCTGTAGACCAGGCGAGGTAGTCAACATCTCACCACTGAAAGAGAGAGACACACACTCCACCACATATACAGCAGCGGGTATCGTCAGTGTCACGGGATCGAACCCACGAGACCTCCTGTAGACCAGGCGAGGTAGTCAACATCTCACCACTGAAAGAGAGAGACACACACTCCACCACATATACAGCAGCAGGTATCGTCAGTGTCACGGGATCGAACCCACGAGACCTCCTGTAGACCAGGCGAGGTAGTCAACATCTCACCACTGAAAGAGAGACACACACTCCACCACATATACAGCAGCAGGTATCGTCAGGGTCACGGGATCGAACCCACGAAGACCTCCTGTAGACCAGGCGAGGTAGTCAACATCTCACCACTGAAAGAGAGAGACACACACTCCACCACATATACAGCAGCGGGTATCGTCAGTGTCACGGGATCGAACCCACGAGACCTCCTGTAGACCAGGCGAGGTAGTCAACATCTCACCACTGAAAAGAGAGACACACACTCCACCACATATACAGCAGCGGGTATCGTCAGTGTCACGGGATCGAACCCACGAGACCTCCTGTAGACCAGGCGAGGTAGTCAACATCTCACCACTGAAAGAGAGAGACACACACTCCACCACATATACAGCAGCGGGTATCGTCAGTGTCACGGGATCGAACCCACGAGACCTCCTGTAGACCAGGCGAGGTAGTCAACATCTCACCACTGAAAGAGAGAGACACACACTCCACCACATATACAGCAGCGGGTATCGTCAGTGTCACGGGATCGAACCCACGAGACCTCCTGTAGACCAGGCGAGGTAGTCAACATCTCACCACTGAAAGAGAGAGACACACACTCCACCACATATACAGCAGCGGGTATCGTCAGTGTCACGGGATCGAACCCACGAGACCTCCTGTAGACCAGGCGAGGTAGTCAACATCTCACCACTGAAAGAGAGAGACACACTCCACCACATATACAGCAGCAGGTATCGTCAATGTCACGGGATCGAACCCACGAAGACCTCCTGTAGACCAGGCGAGGTAGTCAACATCTCACCACTGAAAGAGAGAGACACACACTCCACCACATATACAGCAGCAGGTATCGTCAGTGTCACGGGATCGAACCCACGAAGACCTCCTGTAGACCAGGCGAGGTAGTCAACATCTCACCACTGAAAGAGAGAGACACACACACTGGCGGAACCAGTGGGGGGGGGGTGGGGGTGGCACGTGCCCCCTCCCCCCCAATGATCCGATCGAAATCCCTAATTTCGATTGGATCATTGGGTGTATTAGTAACAAGCCTTTTGCCCGTCCTAGGACTAAAGCTGTGATATTTACGAAAAAACTGGGCAGAGTACAATTGTATCCTGTGTCATCTTGCACGAAAAAAATGTCATCAAACGCTTGAGTGAATTATTAGACTGTAGCGCTGTCTTAATGGCAGTGATGCTCGCTACAAACTAGGTCCTGAAACATCTCGCTTAATGTCACTGTAGCGCTGTATTAACTGACCTTCAATTAGCCTTTTGGCCCATCCTCGGGTGCAAGCTGTAACATTACTGGCCGACAACGCCTTACTAGCTAACAACTTTTTACTTACTAACAAGTCCTTGCCAACAACTTCTTACCCACTAACAACTCCTTACCATCTTGGTTCTTTCGGTAAAGTCATCACGTAGAAGGGAAATATTAAAATAATAAAAATGAAACGCAATAAAATAATTCTCACGACGTTTCGGCCACAACGCAAGCAGCCGTCCTCGGGTGAAGAACAGGTCTGTCGGGGAGACAGCGTCTGAATGAGTGAGTGAGTGAGTGACTGAGTGAGTGACTGACTGAGTGAGTGACTGACTGAGTGAGTGACTGACTGAGTGAGTGACTGACTGAGTGAGTGACTGACTGAGTGAGTGACTGACTGAGTGAGTGACTGACTGAGTGAGTGACTGACTGAGTGAGTGACTGAGTGAGTGAGTGACTGAGGGGTGAGTGAGTGACTGAGTGAGTGAGTGACTGAGTGGGTGAGTGACTGAGTGGTGAGTGACTGAGTGGGTGAGTGACTGAGTGGGTGAGTGACTGAGTGAGTGACTGGGTGAGTGACTGGGTGAGTGACTGGGTGAGTGACTGGGTGAGTGACTGGGTGAGTGACTGGGTGAGTGACTGGGTGACTGACTGGGTGACTGACTGGGTGACTGGGTGACTGAGTGACTGAGTGACTGGGTGACTGAGTGACTGGGTGACTGAGTGACTGGGTGGAGTGACTGGGTGACTGAGTGACTGGGTGACTGAGTGACGGGGACTGTGACTGGGTGACTGAGTGACTGGGTGACTGAGTGACTGGGTGACTGAGTGACTGGGTTACTGAGTGAGGGTGACTGAGTGACTGGGTGACTGAGTGACTGGGTGACTGAGTGACTGGGTGACTGGGTGACTGGGTGACTGAGTGACTGGGTGACTGGTGACTGGGTGACTGGGTGACTGGGTGACTGAGTGACTGGGTGACTGAGTGACTGGGTGACTGAGTGACTGGGTGACTGAGTGACTGGGTGACTGAGTGACTGGGTGACTGAGGACTGGGTGACTGAGTGACTGAGTGACTGGGTGACTGGGTGACTGAGTGACTGGGTGACTGAGTGACTGGGTGACTGAGTGACTGGGTGACTGAGTGACTGGGTGACTGAGTGACTGGGTGACTGAGTGACTGGGTGACTGAGTGACTGGGTGACTGAGTGACTGGGTGACTGAGTGACTGAGTGACTGGTGAGTGACTGGGTGACTGAGTGACTGGGTGACTGAGTGACTGGGTGACTGAGTGACTGGTGACTGAGTGACTGAGTCTGAGTGAGTCTGGTGGTGTTTCATTCAGACGCTGTCTCCCCGACAGCCCTGTTCTTCACCTGAGGACGGCTGCTTGCGTTGTGGCCGAAACGTCGTGAGAATTATTTTATTATGTTTTATTTTTATTATTTTATTACTTCCCTTCTGCATGATGACTTTACCGAAAGAACCAAGCAGATGAATCCCTGCAGTCACGAAAGCTTTAAATCGAAACTCCTTACTCACTAACAACTCTATCATTTTTCATCAGGGTCCGAGATCGAACCCACGACCTCCTGTAGACCAGGCGAGGTAGTCAACATCTCACAGGGTCCGAGATTGAACCCACGACCTCCTGTAGGCCAGGCGAGGTAGTCAACATCTCACAGGGTCCGAGATTGAACCCACGACCTCCTGTAGACCAGGCGAGGTAGTCAACATCTCATCAGGCTCCGAGATTGAACCCACGACCTCCTGTAGACCAGGCGAGGTGGTCAACATCTCACAGGGTCCGAGATTGAACCCACGACCTCCTGTAGGCCAGGCGAGGTAGTCAACATCTCACCAGGGTCCGAGATTGAACCCACGACCTCCTGTAGACCAGGCAAGGTAGTCAACATTTCATCAGGCTCCGAGATTGAACCCACGACCTCCTGTAGACCAGACGAGGTAGTCAACATCTCATCAGGGTCCGATATTGAACCCACGACCTCCTGTAGACCAGGCGAGGTAGTCAACATCTCATCAGGGTCCGAGATTGAACCCACGACCTCCTGTAGACCAGGCGAGGTTGTCAACATCTCATCAGGGTCCGAGATTGAACCCACGACCTCCTGTAGACCAGGCGAGGTGGTCAACATCTCACAGGGTCCGAGATTGAACCCACGACCTCCTGTAAACCAGGCGAGGTAGTCAACATATCCACTGGGAGAGAGACGCACACAGACTCCAAAAATACAGCAGCAGCAGGCATCGTCAGGGTCTGGGATCGAACCCTGGTGTTGGCGGTTGGTGGTGGTGTTGGCGGTTGGTGGTGGTGTTGGCGGTTGGTGGTGGTGTTGGCGGTTGGTGGTGGTGTTGGTGGTGGTGTTGGTGTTGGTGTTGGCGGTTGGTGGTGGTGTTGGTGGTGGTGTTGGCGGTTGGTGGTGGTGGCGGTTGGTGGTGGTGTTGGCGGTTGGTGGTGGTGTTGGCGGTTGTGGTGGTGTTGGCGGTTGGTGGTGGTGTTGGCGGTTGGTGGTGGTGTTGGTGGTGGTGTTGGCGGTTGGTGGTGGTGTTGGTGGTGGTGTTGGTGGTGGTGTGTTGGTGGTGTTGGTGGTGGTGTTGGCGGTTGGTGGTGGTGGTGTTGGCGGGTGGTGTTGGCGTTGGTGGTGGTGGTGGTGTTGGCGGTTGGTGGTGGTGGTGTTGGCGGGTGGTGTTGGCGGTTGGTGGTGGTGGTGTTGGCGGTTGGTGGTGGTGTTGGCGGTTGGTGTTGATGGTTGTTGTTGTTGTTGACAGGCGTCACGTGAGCTGCTGCAGCAGCACTACATTGACCTCAAGGACCGGCCCTTCTACCCGGGCCTGGTGGAATACATGCACTCTGGGCCTGTCGTGGCCATGGTGAGTCGCCCGCATGCTCGCCCACACGCTCGCCCACATGCTCGCCCACTCGCCCACACGCTCACCCACCCCATTCACCCACCCACTCACCCGCATGCTCACCGCTCACTCACTCGCTCACCCACTCATTCATCCGCCGCTCGCTCGCCCGCTCGCTCACTCGCCTCACCGCTTACCCACTCGTCCATCCTCTCGTCCCACTCACCCACTCACTCACCCATCCACTTACTCAACCACTCATCCATCCACTCACTTACCCACTCACCCATCCACTCACTCACCCATCCACTCACTCACCCACCCACCCACTCACCCACTCACCCATCCACTCACTCACTCGCCCACTCACCCACTCACACACCCATCCACTCACGCTCACCCATCACCCACCCACTCGCCCACCTACCAACTCACCCACTGCAGTGCCACTCCATGCCCAGCAGGGGTCGCTCCACCCTCGGTGCCTTCGTCAAGGTGAGGGGGTCTCTCCCCTAGGTCCACTCGGCCTCAAATAAGTTCGCTGGTGCAGTGGTGGTGATGTGGTGGTGTAGTGAACGTCGCTAGCACGGGGGAGAGACAAAGGCGGCCGGGCGTGGTGCTGGCCACCCACCCCCTCTGTGTGCCAGTAGCCTTCATAGGTGCTGCTACTACTAACAGCCTTGCCCTACAGCCCTGCTAGAGGCTACCTGGGGTAGCTTTGTCTGTGTGGGTGTGTGTAGTACATAGACACTGCTGCTGCTACTCGCTAGCTAACGGCACTTGCCCCCAGCCCTGCTAGAGGCTGACCTGGGGGAGCTTTGTCTGTGTGTGGTGTGTGTAGTACATAGACACTGCTGCTGCTACTGCTACCTAATGAGCAACTGCCCCGTACAGCCCTGCTAAGGGCTACATGGGGGAGCTTTGTCTGTGTGTGGTGTGTGTAGTACATAGACACTGCTGTGCTGCTAACAGCACTTGCCCCTACAGCCCTGCTAGAGGCTACCTGGGGAAGCTTGTCTGTGTGTGGTGTGGTAGTACATAGACACTGCGCTGCTACTAACAGCACTTGCCCCTACAGCCCTGCTAGAGGCTACCTGGGGTAGCTTTGTCTGGGTGTGTGTGTGTAGTACATAGACACTGCTGCTAAGCTAACAGCACTTGCCCCTACACCCTGCTAGAGGCTACCTGGGGAGCTTGTCTGTGTGTGGGTGTGTGTAATTACAATAGACACTCTGCTGCTACTAACAGCACTTGCCCCACAGCCCTGCTAGAGGCTACCTGGGGTAGCTTTGTCTGTGCGTGGTGTGTGTGTAGTACATAGACACTGCTGCTCTACTACTAACAGCACTTGCCCCTACAGCCCTGCTAGAGGCTACCTGGGGGAGCTTTACCTGTGTCTGTGTGGTGTGTGTAGTACATAGACACTGCTGCTGCTACTCGCTAGCTCACGGCACTTGCCCCTACAGCTCTGCTAGAGGCTACCTGGGGTAGCTTTGTCTGTGTGGTGTGTGTAGTACATAGACACTGCTGCTGCTACTCGCTAGCTCACGGCACTTGCCCCTACAGCCCTGCTAGAGGCTACCTGGGGTAGCTTTGTCTCTGTGTGGTGTGTGTGTAGTACATAGACACTGCTGCTGCTACTCGCTAGCTTGCAGCACTTGCCCCTACAGCCATGCTAGAGGCTACCTGGGGTAGCTTTGTCTCTGTGTGGTGTGTGTTAGTACTAGACACTGCTGCTGCTACTCGCTAGCTCACAGCACTTGCCCCTACAGCCCTGCCGGAGGCTACCTGGGGAGCTTTACCTGTGTCTGTGTGCGCTCCAGGTGTGGCAGGGGGCCAACGCGGTGAAGACGGCGCGGAAGATGCTGGGTGAGACGAAGCCGGACGACTCGAACCCCGGCACCATCCGGGGAGACTTTGCTGTGCAAGTGGGACGGTGAGGGAGACACACGGGGAGAGAGCGAGAGAGACACGGGGAGGGGGAGACAGGGGAGGGGGGGGGAGACGGGGAGAGAGACACTGGGGGGAGGAAGGGGAGGGAGACAGGGGGAGGGAGACACGGTGGGGAGACAGGATGGGGGAGAGACACGGCAGGGAGAGACAGGGCAGGGGAGACACGGGCAGGGGAGGGAGACACGGGCAGGGGAGACACGGGCAGGGGAGCAGGGGAGACACGGGCAGGGGGAGACACGGAGGGGGAGACACGGGGAGGGGGGAGACACGGGGAGGGAGGGAGACACGGGGAGGGGGGAGACACGGGGAGGGGGGAGACACGGGCAGGGGGGAGACACGGGCAGGGGGAGACACGGGCAGGGGGAGACACGGGCAGGGGAGACACGGCAGGGGGAGACACGGGCAGGGGAGAACACGGGCAGGGGAGACGGGCAGGGGGAGACACGGCAGGGGGAGACACGGGCAGGGGGAGACACGGGCAGGGGGAGACACGGGCAGGGGGAGACACGGGCAGGGGGAGACACGGGGGAGCAGGGGAACGGAGGGCAGACGGGCAGGGGGAGACACGGGCAGGGGGAGACGGGCAGGGGGAGACACGGGCAGGGGGAGACACGGGCAGGGGGAGACACGG